CATTACTTCATGTGTTGTATGTTTTCCCTTTTTTGGAAAACAATAAAAAGATTGTGAAACAAAAAGTGGGCCACACCTGTTCATTTTAACCTACTGGGCTTCCTAAAGCCTATTGTGGAGATGTGGCAGTAACGTGACCTACTCAGGTTACATTAGACCTGGTACTTTTGGCCTGGATTTAAAAAATGTTTATGGTTTGTTTGCTCCACAGAACTGAGAGCAATTCAGATGACCCACAGGGAACAGATGGAACAGAGGAGGAACAGCCTGCCGGGGAGAGAGGCAGCTGACATGCTGTAGTGTGCAGGGCCTGCAAAGAAGAGCTCCAGAAAAGAGCCAGGGAGCGACATTGAAAAGTAAGGTCCTAAGACTTCCAAGGCTACCGCCTGCTGTCAAGCACCCAGCAGTGACCCCCACTTCTGCAAGGTGGAGCACGGTTGGAATGGAAGAGCTGGTGGAACCTGTCTGCGTCTTCATGTGAAAAAGCAATGAAGAAGTGGGGTACAGTCACCATCTAGCCCTAATCTTCGTCCCTTTCCTGGACAACATAGCTCATATAAGGATGGGTGATATGGTAAATGTCTGGGAGGAGGTTCCTCCTCAGCCCCATGTTTCTATTCCCTAATGGCCCACCTCAGCAGCAGAATAGCAGATGCTACCATCACCACCATCCCAGCATGTGGTATTGTGGATACTCCCATACAATCCATGCCACGGTAGCGGCCAGGAAGGTTCCAGCCAGTATCACCAGATTGCATCAAGAGGGCAATTGGGGGAGATGAGCAGGGAGGAGAGTGCATCGCCCTCTTATTATTATCGGTCATTTTTTACTTGTTAATTATGTTCATCTTAATTTGTTTTTTTACAGTTTGCTGTCATAAATATTTTTTACTGGCTTTGATAAAAAAAGAAGGCCATGGGCCTATTAATAAAATAAACAATTCATACAGTACTCCTGTGATTTTGCATAACATTTTCTTTCTCTTCATTTTAGGATTTCTATGGCAGATATGCAGAATATGCCATATAGATTTGTCCGCTATCAGCCAATCTGTAAGCAGCAGTCCACATGTAATCGTATGTGACCATTACATGTGGTTTGAAATAGAGCACTATTCCTGGCAGGGACGTGCGGTCAGGGAAGGCAGGTTAGGGGGAGGCAGGTGAGGCAGAGCCTCATCTAGTATTATGGAGGAAAAAGCTGTCCGCTTTAATCGTGAAGCTGACAGCTTTTTCTCCATTCAGAGTGGATTGTAACAGGTTACACAGTGGGGAAAGCTTCCCGCTCTGTAACCTGTCATGGACGGAGCGCCTCCTGGCAATTACAGGCAGTGCTGCATACCACTTTTGACAGCTAGTTAGGTCACACAGCAGCGGGCTTCCCCACTGCTTGTGTAACCTAACATAGTGAGGCAAGAGCTGTCACAGCCTCTACCCTGTGTTAGAGGCGTGAGCTCTATGGATGGTTTGGACCAATGGCAAAAAACACTGAGAACATGGATCTCGATGCCTCAGCAGTGACGAGCAAATGAGGGACAGGGAGGCTCCTCCCTGTCTCCTCCTCCCTCCTTCACACAAGCTTGATGGCCAGGATGGGGGTGGGGCTTTGGTGTCTTGGGGCAGGGCTTCGGTGTGCTAGGGACAGGGCATACTGGGGGCGAGGCTGGGGAATGCCTCACCAAGAACCAAAGGTACTACACATCACTGATTCCTGGATACATCTATCATGCATCTAGGGACAGGGATCTATTGCAGACCACATGTAATGGTATCACATACATACGGGCTGCAGCTTAAATATGTGGGCTCTGTCACCTGATCATTAAGTTAAACGTTTTCCAGCACCTGCATCTAAATGGCAGCTGTTTGCATTGTATTGCGATAGGAGCCAGTGGCCCAAACAGCTAGCAGATGATTGTCTGCTAGCTCTGCTCTGCCGAGAACTTTCCAACCAGCTCCTTCGATCAGCTGATCAAGGAGGCCAAAGGGTGCCGACAGCGGCACCTACTGTGCAAATTTTGGTCGGGTTATCAGGAAATGGACGAAATTCCTACTGTATATACCTAGCTTAAGGCTACATTAACACTTTGAGTTTTGGGACTTCTATGGCAGGAACCTACGGTATCCAGCCGCAGGAATCCCAAATGTCAAACTGAGATGCGGCACTGTCACCCGTTCAAGATCATGACTGGGTGACAGCAGATGCATCTGTAAGCAGCAGTCCACATGTAATCGTATGTGACCATTACATGCAGACTGCCGCTTAACCACCTGCGGACTGACCACTGTATTAAACCGCTCAACTGCTGGCACATTGTACCCGTACGTCCTCCTTTGAATGCCTGTGTGCGCGCTCCCGCAGGGCCTGAAGCCGCTGCTCCTGCTATCATGAAATAGCAAAGAACAGCGGCTTTAGACACAGAGACGATCGGATTGGCTCTATGTCCTTTGATTACTGTGACTAGTTACCACAGCGATCACATGGCAATGTTTACATCGCCAAGCCCTCCCATTCCTCTTACATCAGAGGCAGAGGAGTGTAAAGGAAGGAATGAATGGATGAGTCCATTGAAAAAAGTCAAATACATTTTTAACCCTTTCACCCTCCCTCCTCTCTTACATATGTTAGCTCCATTATATCTCTACTCTGATGTGTGTATTAACCCCTTCATCTCCCTTATCCTGCACATCAACCCCTTCATCTCCATCGTCCCACTGTATGTGACTTGTACATTGACCGCTTCGTCCCTTTGTCTATGACCTGTACATTTATTGTATCTTCTGCACTATTACCAAGCTTCATGTTTTAACCCTTTCAATAGCGGCAAGTTTCTTCAGTTCCAAAAAATTGCGGCCCAAAAAAACCCAAAAACAGACCACCTTGGGGTGTTTTTTTCAAAAAGGGGTCATTTCAGGGATTTTCATACTGTCCTGACGTTTTTTTATATATGTTTTATAGCAGACACTTTATAACAGAAACAAGGAAACTTTTTTTTCAATTATTTTCATCTCTTTTTTACGTTATATAGTAATTAAAAAAAACACACTTCTTAAATACCACCAAAAGAAAGCTCTGTCTCAGAAAAATGATATAAAATACATTTTTCAACAGTGTTGCATGATGGCGGCATTGTCAGTCAAACTTGCACAGCCCTGAAAACTGAAAAATGGACGGCAATGAAGAGGGTGTAACATTAAAGATGTGGGCGCTGTCACGTGATCATTAACCTTCCTGGCGGTAATCCCGAGTGTGGCTCGGGGTTAATTTTCAGTACCAAAAGCGGTAACCCCGGGCCACACTCGGGATTACACTGTGCGTCACTTACCTTGTCCCTACGAGCCCCGATGTGTCCTCCGGCCGATGCCAGCATCCGTCTTCCGGGTTCCTTCCCTTGCGAGCGCCCGCGTCGCAGGGGGGCGGAACCAGCGGGAAATTCAAAACTAAATAAATAGAAAAAAAAAAGAAAAAAATACTGAGATAATCAGACCGCCAGGGAGGTTAACGGGGCTTTTCTCCATAGTTCTCCTAAAGGTAACGGGAGGACACAAACTAGAGTCCTCCCGTCACCCTAAGCTCAGTATCCCGCGAGCTGCAGCTCGCGGTATACTGAGACTCCGCAGCTGGAACGGATCCCGACAATTATGTCTGGATCCGCCCAGCTGCGTGCGTTACAGCTGGCTCTGCCTAGCTAGAGGCAGAGCCAGCTGTACCCGCCCCCTCCCCTGTCCGTTCCACCAGTCAGCGCTGGAGGATCGGAGCAGGGAGCGTGGAATCCAGCCCCTCCCCTGTCATGGCTCTCTGCCGTGACAGGATCGAGAAGTGAGCGAAGGCTCAGGGGTACAGCGCGCACTAGGTCAGGGGTGCACTGCACGCTAGTCTCAGTGGTACAGCACGCGCTAGGCTCAGGGGTACAGCGGGCGCTAGGTCAGAGGTGCAATGCGCGCCAGGCCAGGGGTACAGCACGTGCTAGGTCAGGGGTACAACACGCACACTAGGCCAGGGTGGGGCAAACTTGAGCCCTCCAGCTGTTGTGCAATTACAACTTCTTGCAGCCATAGTCATGCGTCCCCACGGATGCCTGATGGGACTTGTAGTTCCACCACTCCTGCAGTTTCTGTACAGTATAACCCTCCCTGGGCACAATGAACTAAGCTGTGCTATGTATTACCCCCGTAGAGGTGAAAGGGGTGACAAAACGACACAACAGGAATGCATCACCCCGGTTCTTTATCTAGGAGAACACATATTACCTCTAGGGTTGCCACCTTTTCTTCAAGCGAAACCTGAAACCCGAACACTCTAGCGACACGCAGACATATTTTTTTAGGAGAATGAGTTGTGGCTTATTCATATGTAAAAGGAACCACCCATTAATATGTAAATATCACAGTTGAGACTATTTTTAGTGGGGGGCCAGTAGCCCCTATCTTAATTTTGGTTGCCCCTGTCTACCTGACATCTTGTGTCCGGGTTCCTGGTGCCATGAAACCCGGACACGGCATTCAAAACCCGAACTGTCCGGGTGAATCCTGGACAGGTGGCAACCCTAATTACCTCTGCATAGACATCCTGGTGAAATCAGAAAACTTCTCAGGATCGTCCTGCAGCTCCTCGTACAACATCCAGAATCGTCCCTTAAATTCTCTCTGAATTAAGAGCTGGCGTCTCCGTCGAGCACGCAGTTTAAGTATTGCAGTAACCAGCACCATGACTATGCCTGCATAAGGAGACATATCGAATCAACACTGCTTCCAGAAGACAAACAATGGAGGAGCGCCAGAAAGAAGACGGAAGTGACCTCAAAGGAAATGTCTGCATAAAAACGCATCTTGAACGCACAGAAACGCATATGAAGAAACGCATCCAGAAACGCATCCAAAACAAGACAGTTGTGAGCTATCCAACGGTCATACCCATCTGCCACCGCTAGAGGGCGGCGGCGCTCTCCTCACCAAGCCCAGCAGTCAGCCGTGTCAGCGGAAGACCTTCCACTTCCGAGCGCAGTGCAGGCCGGGAAAGCCTGAGAGCCGCCGGGGATTATGTCATCGCCGGGCGCCATGTTGGTGGCTTTGTGTTTCTTATAAATAAAGATCGGCGGACGGGCAGGCGGTGTATTGGATGGTGGCCTAGACACTTTGGTCTCTGGGGGGTGATTGACGTGTTGGCTGCTGTGTCCTGACTTCACCCCGGGAGCCATGAGAGAGTTCACGTGAGTGCGCAGTCGTGTGTGTCTGAGGGACTATAAGTCCCAGTATGCTGTGAGGGAGTGCTGGGATTTGGAAATAAAGGGGAGGGGTGTTTCTGGGGTCTCGTTATGGAAGGCTTGCTTTAGTCAGACTGTACACACAGGTATACAGGGGATGGTATCCACACAGACCTTCATTGTATACTGCTATACCTCTGTATATATAAACTATCACCGAGTATACAGCATTCATACAACCCCCCCCCCACCACGAAGACAACACACACACCAGGGGG